GGCACGGGGTGAGAGGATGTGGGTGGATCCACCAAACACCCCGTGGCTACCACATACCCCAGGGATGGAGGGCAGGTAGAGTAACCTTTAAACACAAGAGATGGAAGAAGCTGGAGGATAAAATATCCCCCTAGGAGGCAGTAGAGTCTATTCTCTAAAAAAAAAGGAAAGTCAGAAATACGCTGGGAAATATTTTGGCAATGAACCCTTTGACACTTATTTGCAAAGAATTTGAAATTGCTGGGCCTGGACTACAGCTCTGAAATAAATAAAAGAATTTCAATTTACTCAGATGATTGGACTCCTTGGGTGAACAATATCTTGCTGTTGACGGAAATCAAAATGGGCATGACACAGAACACGCCTTCATCATCAAATGCTTGTTTCAAGTGGAATGCCCTAGTCATCTCTCCGCCAAGTACGTGTAAATTCAGGAGGTCTGGCAGGTATGCAAAGACAGGGTGGAGTGATAACACACTGCTTGTTGTTTTTCACCCCATCTTTTAATGTGGTCTTCATTAAGAGCAAGGACGCTATGGTGGGGTCACACATCCACATTTAACTCGACAGAATTCAACTATTCACAGTTTGAGAAGAGGGAGAGAGTGAGCAAGAAAGACAAGAACAACATTTTAAATAGCACGGGTGATCCTATCTGCTATTCCCTTCATTGAGCCCATATCCAGGAGTAAACACTGGAGATGACCCTGCACATAGATTTATATGTATCCATCACTATGCAAGGCTGTACACACAAAACAAGGCATGTCATCTTTTATGGGTGAGCAGAGAGATGTCTACAAATCACGTGGACTCTCAGTGATTATCACTTAGGTGGGGACTTCAGAATCTAAGCCTTAAACAAAGTAAGCCTTCACTCTATTTTATTAGAGGAAGATGTTTTCAGTTGTTTTTTTTTCTGGGAGAGGAAACAACTTGCTGGCTCTCTTCAGCTGTTCTTATGAACATAAAAAGAACTTTCGTGTTTTTGCTGTTTATTTGAAAATTCTAGAATATCTCCAATATGCTAAGAAGGAAAAGGAAAGGGACCTGAGGGAGGAGGGAAAACAGAGAAAAGTGGATATACTCTCACCGTATCTCACCTGTCTCAACCTTCAGGAGCTGGGCTCAAGGGGCACAGGGTAAAAGTGAAAGGGAACAATGGGGCCAGCCCGGCGGCGCAGTGGTTACGTTTACACACTCCACTCTGGCGGCCCGGGGTCAGCTGGTTTGGATCCCGGGTGCAGACTTATGCACTACTTGTTAAGCCATGCTGTGGCAGGCGTCCCACGTAGAACAGAGGAAGATGGGCAGGGATGTTAGCTCAGGGCCAGTCTTCCTCAGTAAAAAGAGGATGATTGGCAACAGATGTTAGCTCAGGGCTAATCTTCCTCAAAAAAAAAAAAAGTGAAAGGGCCCAATTATGGACTGAATCATGTCCCTCCCTAAACCGATATGTTGAAGCCCTAAGCCCCATTGTGACTTATTTAGAGATAGGGCCTTTAAGGAGGTAATTAAGGTTAATGAGGGCATAGAGTGGGGCCTAGTCCAATAGAATTGGTGTCCTTATAAGAAGAGAGAGACAGGGGCTGGCCCGGTGGCACAGCAAAGTGCGCACGTTCCGCTTCTCAGCGGCCCAGGGTTCATCAGTTTGGATCCTGGGTGCAGACATGGCACCGCTTGGCAAAAGCCATGCTGTGGTAGGCGTCCCACAGATAAAGTAGAGGAAATGGGCATGGATCTTAGCTCAGGGCCAGTCTTCCTCAGCAAAAAGATGAGGCTTGGAGGATTGGCACTAGCTAGCTCAGGGCTAATCTTCCTCAAAAAAAAAAAAAAAGAAGAAGAGAGAGACGATAGGAGTGGATACACATAGAAGAAAGACCATGTGAGGACACAGCAAGAAGGTGGCCAGCTGCGAGCTAAGAAACCAACCCTGCAGGCACCTAGATCTTGGACTTCCAGTCTCCAGAACTGTGAGGACATGATTTCTGTTGTCTGAGCCACCTGGTCTGTGGTTTCTGTTACAGCAGCCTGAACAGACCCCACAGGCCCCAACAGGAGTGAAATTCAGGCAGGCATGTGGTGAGCTCCAACCTCCACCATCTCTTCCTGCTGGAGTTCCCCGCCTCATTGACATCTTTATGTTCGTCCACTTGATAAACTTTTGTGCTTTGGTTATTTTGTGGATGGAGTCCCTGACCAACGTAGAAATTAATTGTTTGCCTGAAATTTAGAAGAGAGTAGCCTTCTCCCTTGGAAGTGGGTGAAAGTGTCCAAGTTGCTTTGATTTCCACAGGCAGAAAGCGGGAAGGGAGTTCCAGTGTGAGTAAACACCCAGAAGCTGCGAAGGAAAGGGCAGCCTCCTTCGTTTGTTCCATTAATATTTATTTTGAGCACCTGTGATGTGCCAGGCAGTGCAGGAGGTCCGACAGACGCAGTGAGTAAAACAGGCCTGGCCTCTGCCCCTAAGAACATGTTGGGAGATTGTCCAGAGCACAGAGAGTGTGCAGGGAGTGATGGGAAGTAAAACGAAGAGTAGATGGAAACAGGGGCCGGCCCCATGGCTGAGTGGTTAAAATTCCACGTGCTCTACTTTGGTGGCCTGGGTTCACAGGTTCAGATCCTGGGCGCAGACCTACTCTACTCATCAGCCATGCTGTGGAGGCATCCCACATACAAAATAGAGGAAGATGGGCACAGACATTAGCTCAGGGCCAGTCTTCCTCAGCCAAAAAAAAGAGGAGGATTGGCAGCAGATGTTAGCTCAGAGTGAATCTTCTTCACAAAAAAAACAAAAACAACAACAAAAAGTAGGATGGGAACAGACTGTGGGGAGCTTTGAACCCTGTCTAGAAATTTGTTCTTCATCCAATAGGCAAATGGGGAGCCACTGCAGGTCATTGAGCAGGAGACTGCCCTGGTCACAGATGTCTTTTAAGAATATGAATTTGGAAGCTGTGTGTTGGATCAGTTGAAATAGGAAGAAATTATAGACTGGATAAACAGTAAAGGAATAAGTACTAAAACTCAGACGAGATATAGCCTGAATCAAGGTAATATCAAATTTATATGTGTTTGGTGGGACCAAATCTTATGCTAACATCAATAGAAAACCTCCAAGTATTTTCTCAAACCCTAGAGCATGGCTCCACAGCATGGCTGATCAGTAGAGTAGGTCTGCGCCCAGGATCTGAACCTGTGAACCCAGGCCACCAAAGTAGAGCATGTGGAATTTTAACCACTCAGCCATGGGGCGGGCCCCTGTTTAGCATTAGAAATGCTATCACCTGTTAGCCTTGGAAAAGTTTCCAAAATACAGAGTTCAATCTTCTAATCTCACAGGCAGCAAATCAGAGATCATTCAGCCAAAACTAACACTGACTTAATTAAGCTGGGGGGGGGGGTGTATAAGCTTTTAAGTGTGGGAGTGGCCACATTGCCCAAAGCAAAACTCTCAACGTATCATGTTTATAAGCCAAAAAGTCTCCCATGACCTTGCGTAATTAACTGCAGCAAATTATGATACAGCAGAAGGAATTAGGGGATCTAAGATAGGAGAATGCAGTTTGAATCTCTATTCTGAGACCTTCTACCTGTAAACAGGGTGGTCAGGGGCCAGTGACAGATGGACTGGTCTCCTGCTCCTCCACCTTTTCTAAAGCGAGGAGGAACTTCTCTCTGCTGGGCAGCCCCATTCTTTCCATGTTCACCATTACTCAGCATTCACCAAATATTTGCTCAAACAACAGGGACTGCCCCAGCAGCCTCCGTATGTAGGCGCTGCTCTTGGCTATGGAGGTATTAACCACAAAACTGGAGATCCTGCTTCTCATGAGACCTACCTGGCCTTGGGAGGAGACAGAATATCGTAAATCAAAGCGCAAAATAAGTACATTGACTGGACTATGAAGACAACCAAATAAGGTGGACTGATCGAGTGCCCCCAACTAGATATAAAAATCCTCAAGGGCCAGGATCACTCAGTAGCCCCACATATAACCCCACAGTCCTGGAACAGTCCTAACTGGTGCCCTATAAATGCATGTTGAACACTAGCAGCATTGCTCTAAGTGGCTCACCCAACGGCAACCAAAGGAGGCTGGCAACAGCCCCAAAAGGTGAAGAGAACCCCTCATCGTCCTTCTGGCATGGCTTTTTTCAAACCAGGAAGTTCAGGAAATGTCAACTGTTGATATAACTAAGAAAGCTCTAAGGCACGTGGGTTTTTTCACTTGCTTGGTTTGTTTCGATTTCTCTTTTTCAATGTGGTTCTTGCCACAGAATCATGCGGGGTACTTATTAAAAATACAAATTCCTGGGCCCCACTCTCAACCCACTGAATTAAAATAACTGGAGGAGGGGCCCACAGAACTGCATTTTTTTTTTTTTGAGGAAGATTAGCCCTGAGCTAACATCTGCTGCCAATCGTCCTCTTTTTGCTGAGGACGACTGGCCCTGAGCTCACATCCGTGCCCATCTTCCTCTATTTTATATGTGGGATGCCTGCCGCAGCATGGCTTGCCAAGCGGTGCCACGTCTGTACCCAGGATCCAGGCTGGTGAACCCTGGGGCCACCGAAGCAACACGTATGCACTTAACCACTGCGCCACTGGGCCGGCCCAATGGAACTGCATTTTTAACAAGCTCCTAAATAATACCGATGCTACATTGCTGTCTTAAAAAAAACACATTGCTGATTTAAAAAGAAAAAATCACCCCAAAAGTACACCATGCCTCTTTTCATTTCACTTGCAAATGTCTCCACAAATAGTTCTTCAGAAAGCTCTTACGTAAACTTCCTTTGCAAAACCCTTCAGCCTGGTCACAAGTTGACTTTATTTAGAGAAATGCACTGGGAGACTGAGCCCGCGTGATGAGAGCATTCCATCAGCTGATCCATTCATTCAAAAACTTTGACATGCAGAGACACTGGATGGCTTCAGTGTAAGAACCTCCCTGTCTGGGGAGCTAAAGGAGAGACTTTCCGGAATATTCCCTACCTGTGAAGAGAGCGTGGTGGTGGAGGCCCCTCTCCTTGTCCTGATGGGAGCAGACATCAAATAAGTAGGCTTTGATGGGCCCATCAATGAAGTCAGCAGCAAAATCAAAGAGAACCACACCTATCATGGTGATGGTTATGGCCCAGGTCAGCTTCTTCCTTCGGTCAGCAATCAAAGCTAAAACAGAAATAAACATACCTCACATCAATCCTGGTTTAGAATGACCCACGTTTTTTATTTCCACCAAAACTTCCTGTCATCAAGCTCTCTCCCTTTGCTTTCATTTTGCTTTGTTTTTCCAAATAAAAATAGCTTCATTATATTTTCAGGTTTTAAAAATTACGCCTGTGAATGTCCAGAAAAGGCAAATCTAGAGAGACAGAAAGTTGATTGAGCGGTTACCTAGGGCTGGCGAGGAGGAGGAAGTGAGGAGTGACTACTCACAGTCACTGGGTTTCTTTTTGGTGTGATGAAAATGTCGTGGAATTAGATAGCGGTGATGGTTGACCAACCTTGAGAATAAACTAAAAAGCACTGAGTTTTAAATGGTGATTTTTATGGTATGTGAATCATCTCTCTCTTTTTTAAAAAGCCACTTAAAAACTTATGCATGCTTATTGGAAACCATTCCAACGAAGCAGAAAAGCTGAGGGAAATGCTTCAAGTCCCAGCCCCAGTGATGGTCATCCTTCAGACATCCCTTCACGCACCTGCACATATCCAGATAGGGGTGGATTTTTGCGCCCCAATGCAGTGCTTCGCAAACTTTAGCATGCTTAACCATCACTTGCACGATTTGTTAAAACAGACTGTTGGGCTCCGTCTCCTATGATTCTCCAAGATTCTCCCGTGATTCCTCACTAGGTCTGAAGTGGGACCTGGGGATTTGCATCTCTAACAGCTCCCAGTGACGCCAGTGCTGCAGGTCAGAGGACCACGCTTTGAGGCACACTGATAGTGGGATCATGTTGTCCCTGCTCATTTATAACCAACTCTCTTCATTTCTTTGCGTTCCAATTAAGGAAGAACGACTTCACAATTTTAACAAATAATTCTCATTCTATGGATGTGCCACAACTCATTCACCCAATCTCCTATTGGAGAAAAAAAAGTTTTCCCTTGCTTTCAGTTTCACTTAAGAATAAAGCGTAATATGTGCACATGTTTTAAGATTATAGTATAAAAATAAGTGAAAAATAAGCCTACTCTCCATTTTTCACTTCCAGTCTTTTAGTACCCCTTCCTAGAAGCCACTATTCTTATCAGGTTTTTTGTGAATTCTTCCAGAAATAGCCTACATTTATGTATTAATGCCCTCTTTTCAATATATACAAATGATAACTGATTATCCTGCCTCATTATCATCCATTCTGCTAGCCTGAGAGCTAATGATCTAAAAATGTGTGCTATTTTTAAGTTTAACAATCCCTTTTTTGATGTAACTTTTTATCTACTACCACCTATTACCAATTAATTGGTGGCTGATTAATGACTAGAAAAAGTGCTCACTATCAGGTTTGTTTTTGCCCAGAATTTGCAATGCAAAAATGTCCCCTTGAGATGACAGGTTGACACCCCATTGATGCCTAACCCATTAAAAGGCTCTACATAAACCTATCAACAGAATTAACTCTGATTTAGACACACAGGTAATTTATTGTAAATATTTATGGAGCCATTTGGCAGCTGGTTAATTTGACAAAGTACTGAATAAAGAAAGCATAATGAGCTCAAAAAACACCACAATTGATAAATAGGTAAAAATATTTAATTTGATAAAAGAGATAAAAATTTCATCCTATCTTAAAATCCTCAGAATAAAAAAGCAATGCATGCTGATGTTTCTAAAAGTAAAGGCTCCCCAGTCTCAGAATTTGAGTCATTCCAAAGCTGAAGTTCATTGTAACCTAGGAGAGAGAATCTGTTCAAACCAAGTTCAAAGTCACATAAAGAAATTCGCACTCTCCTTCTATGGAGTTACATGATGGGACCCTTTTCCCCGCCTGCCCACCTCATGCAGTCCACTGACCTGATATGACAGCGTCCCCGTTGAGGTACAGAGCCATACCCAGGAGCATTATGACGCTCAGGGCCAGAATGTAGGGTCTCCGCCGGCCCCACCTGGCCCGGCAGTGGTCGCTGGCCGATCCCACCACAGGTTGCAGCAGGAATCCCAGGACGGGACTGAGCAGCCACACCACGCTGTACAGACGCTTGGGCAGGCCCACGCTGAGCAGGACTGGGGTCACGTAGGCCGCCTCCACCGCGTAGCAAAATTCCCGGCCGAACATGGCCATGCTGTGCATGACGAGCCTGCCCGTGGATCTTTTGGGCAGCTCCACGGAGCCAAAGGGGCCATCCTCAGCTAGGGACTTATAGGTGGGAACGCCAGGCTGCCCACTGTTGCCACCCATGGCCACTGGGTGAGGAACCTGCCTGCAAGCCCACCGCCACCCGGGTGGCCCTCGGGTTTGTGCCTCAAGCTGGATTTGACATAGAGCCTGGCTGAGCAGCCAACAGAGATGATCAGGCTGGGGGAGGGGCTCAAATTCTTTCATGGCTCTAAGATCACAAGTTATGATGAGAGGGAAGGGGGGTGGGGCCTGGGCAGCACAACAGAGATTAGCTGCTGTAAGCCCTCTGGTTCCTTAGAATGTTTTTCCTAAGGAATCTTCCTTTGTGCAGTTCTCACTCTCACTCTCCCTCTCTCCTTCTCTGTCTCTCTGTCTCTCTCTTACACACACCCACTATTCCACATGATCACACAGCCAGCTTTGGAACAATAAAACCCTATTATGCAGGTATTAAGTTAAAACATGAATGAGTTGATATCTTTCTATAAACTTTTTTCTAGATACAAATATTCTGTAAGGACAAGTGTTTTTTGTTTTGTTTTGTTTTAAAGATTGGCACCTGAGCTAACAACTCTTGCCAATCTTCTTTTTTTTCTTTTTCTGCTTTTTCTCCCCAAATCCCCCCAGTATGTAGTTGTATAGTTTTTAGTTGTGAGTCCTTCTAGTTGTGGCATGTGGGATGCCGCCTCAGCATGGCATGATGAGTGGTGCCACGTCCGTGCCCAGGATCCAAATGGGCGAAACCCTGGGCCACTGAAGCAGAGCATGTGAACTTAACCACTGGGCCACGGGGCCGGCCCAGAACAAGTTGCCTGAACACAAGCTGTCTACACACGCACCTCAAGAGTCAATTAACTAGACTTAAAATGGTGGGCGGTTGCACCCTTCCTTTAAATCACTAGCTGTCTCATAGCACTGTTATATTTGCCTTCATTGCACTTAACACGCTTTAAATTAGATGGGTCTGTGTTTATTCTGTTTCTCCTATGTTAACTAGTCTCTGATCCCCTTCAGAGCCATGATTAGGTCTGTTTTACTCATTGTGGTATCCCCAGCAACTAGAATGATACCTGGCACCTAGTAGTTCCTCAATAAATATTTGCTAAAGGAATTCTTGAATGAATGAAGTATATACACTACATTAGTACTGCCAGTCAACTGCCTGTTTGCTCTGAGCCATCCTCTGCTCCTCCTCTGCTGCTCTGTATCAGAAGAGACTACATTTCCCAGGTTCTCTTGCTTTCTGGTTACTAGGTAGATTTGGCCAATGGGAGGCACTGGTGGGGAGACTAGGGGTGGGAGAAGGGAAGAAATCAGAGCATTCCTTTCCCCGACACACATACACTCTCTCTCCTTTCTGAAACATCTCTGGCAGTGGCTGCATCTCCACTGTGAGTCCAGCTTCTGCCAGGCAACCTTGGCTTCTGGGTCCTGATAATACTATCTTTTCCATCATCCCTGCAGCCATGGGAGTGGTCCTGGCTTCATGTTGTTGCTCATATCTGGGTTGCCTCACTATCTTCTGGGCTTCTCAGCTCTTGTATCACCGGTGTAATTCTCTATATTAAATTTGCTCTGTTTTAAAGACTTGGAGTGGGTTTTATTTGCCTTGTTGGACCCTGAGTTCAAATGAAAAGTCTGAGAAGCAGGGGAAACATGATCTTTAGAAAGGCCCCTAAAATTGGTTACAGAGCAAGACTTTAGGTTAGAATATTGAAGTTTAAATTCTGGTTCTACCTCTTCCTAGTTGTATTTCCCTGTGCAAATCACTTAAACTGGTGTTTCCAAAACTGTGTGCCAAGGTGCCCCCGTACACCACAGTGAACTCACATGGGTATCTCAGGATATTTAAAAATGTGAAGACAGTAAACAGAGTGAAACTCAACAGCTGTCAGACACCACATGAACCACTGGTGAAGTAGTTCACACTTTCAACATAAGATTGCACTACAATCCTTTCAATGATTTCATATTTTTGTGAGGCTGGGACTTCCACAGACATGATAAAAAGCAAGTATTGTATGAAAATCAATGTGGAACAGAAAATGAGAGTAGTGGTGTCCAATTTGATTCCAAGGCATGAGAAAGCCTTGTCCAGTGCAGTGTCCAGCGGGTGCATATGATCCATTAGTAATTGTGGTTAAGAATGAAATAAAAATAAAAATATGTCTTCAATTTATATGTGTATTATATTTTTCAAATAGCTAGTAAGTTGTTAGGACATAAATACTTAAGTTGTTGGGACCTGATATACATAAATGGAATGGTTATATATTTCTTTTGGCCTAGGGGCACCACAAAAAAATTACTGAGAAACTAAGGGAGATGGGAACTAAAGGTTTGGGACCATCTGAGCCTTGTGTTCTCATCCGTAAAATGAAGAAGCCTGGCCTACTTTCCTTCCCCCTGTGATTGTTGAAGAGCAACTGAGATACTGTATGTAATGGGTCTTATTGGCTGCCTACTCAATATCCATTCTCCGCTCCCCCCATCCTGATGGAACCTGGATTAGATTCCAGAATCCACCCCTCCCTCACACAACCATGTGCTTCCAGGAAGCTGAGTCCAGGGGAGCTTTATCTGAGGATGATCCTACCTTCTCTGCCAAAGACTGGTGTAGGCTTGGCTTGTGACTTAACTCGGCCCCAGGAGACCCAAGACAAGGTTGGCTGAAGACTTCTGAGACCCCATCTTCTTCTGGATGTTGCTGTGTGTGGATATGAGATCCAAAACTTGGTATCAGGCTGAGGATAAAGCAAACACATGGAGGATGGGAAGTTGGCAGAGCCAGAAGAATGCAGGAAAACAGGGTCTGAGTAACTGGACTCAGTAACCCTGAAACTTAACATCCTTCCAGCCTCTGGGTATGTGAGCCCAGACACTTCCTTCTTGTTTTGGATATTCTTACTTGCAGTTGAAGGCAGCCTGATTTTATATAGGTAAAAGTATTTTGCAAATTATACAGTGCAATGTAATTGTGACTGAAGCCTAAAACGTGCTTAGAGGGATGACATGAACATAGAGATGAGAGGCCTGGACGCAACCAGTCACCTTGTTCTACATAACTTGTTTTATTTATCACCATCCAGTTTGTAGCATCTCATCACTTCTTACATTGTAGGGTCAAAAGAGAGTGTAAATAAATGTGTATTGAACTATGCATTCAAGAACTATGTATTCCTCTTTCACTAGAATGGACCATCTTCAATTGCCTGCCTCTCTTCCATCCTCCTGAAAACTTCCTATTTTCTCCTTACCTGCCCCTTGCCTACTTCTAAATCTACAGTTGGTCAAAGGATAGCTTAAAAAAAAAGAGGAAGCGTAGCATTTTCTGCACAGGGTCTTAGTCTTAGACTCTTCAAAAGAAAAGTATGGGTCACTAACAAAAGCTACTAGCCTTATTTACATACATTTATTCTTTAAAAGTTCACGCTCTACCAAAACCAATCTTTCATTCAAATATTTTGTATAAAGTCAATTAATCACAGAAATCAATATTCTAAGCTATTCCATCTGTTGATTTACAGATTTTTGCCAACCCCCTTTTATCCTTTCCCTCACAATCCATTCAACAGACACTTTTTTGAGCACCTACTATGACAGTAACCAAGGGGAAAAGGCTTGGTTCATATCCATTAGGACACTGCTACTCAAAGTGTGGTCTTTGAACCAGAAGCATCATAATCACCTGAAAGCCTGGTAGAAATGTAAATTCATGGGTCCCACCCTAGACCCACATTAGAATCCTTAGAGGTGGGCCTAGGAATCTGTTTTAACACTGTCTCCAGATGATTCTTTGCGTGCTGGAGTAACTACCCTAGGAGCTTATGGCCTAGTGAACTAAAAGCAATTGCTATCCTTGGAGATATGTACAAAATGCAATGGGACCATAGGAAGGACCCCTAAGAATAGGAGCTAACAATTACTGGGCACCTAGGATGTTCCAGGCACGTCACAGGCATTGTCTTAGACATCACAATGATAGAATGAGATTTGAACACAAGGCCTTTCTGACTCCAAAATTCATAATCACTGTGCAAAACCGCCCTAGGACTGAGAAACACGGGATGCTTCACAAAGAAGACCCAAAGAGAGTTTGAGCCAACTCTCAGTTTGCTAGATCAACAAGCTGGAGCATAAGGGGTCGAGAGTATTGTTAATCCTGAAAAATGTTGCAGCATATGGAAAGGCATGGAAGCAAGAAACCACAGCATATTTAGAAACTTCAGGCCGTCCAATATAAAGTGTGAGGAGCAGTTGGGTAGGGATGGCATTGGACAGCTAGGTGGAAGTCTTATTATAAATAAATAGTTCACATGCTATGTAAATGAGTTTATATTTTATTCTATACGAAAAAAAGAGGACCACTGAAGAATTTTACAGGACTGAAACGACCAGTTTGGTGTCAAAAAGATTACTGGTAGTGTAACACAATGGGAAAAAAAAAAATGAAGGCAGTGATACTAGAGGTCAAAGTCAGGTAGGAAAGCTGAGTAGTAGTCCAGGTAAGAGGTAACAGGGTCCTGAATGAAAGCTGCAATGAGAGATGGGCAAAGGGATGGATACAGGAGCTATTCACTCCTTTAATAAAATTCACAGTTTCCACCATGGGCCAGTCACTATTCCAGCAACTGGGGATTTAGCAATGAAAAAAACCTACACAGTTTCATAAAGCTTCCATTCTAGCGTGCACTAGTTAAGAGGGAGTGAGGACTGGGGTCAATCAATGTAATATCAGTAGTGACACAGTGTGCGAAGAAAAACAGAACAGGGGAGGGGAGACTGAGTGCTGAGGTGGCTGCTAGTTTAGTTACGGGTCAGGAAAGGACTCTCCTTTGGGCAACGGCCTAAATGAAGTGAGAGGTAAGCTGTGGGCCTATTGGGGGCTGGGGGAGACATGATGGGAGTGGAAGCCAGAGACTGGTAAGGGGAGGAAGAGCCTAGTAGGACTTTCAAACGGATGATGCTACAATGTCCTGAGAAAGAGACACATTTGGGTGATGCTAACAGGAAGCTACACAGACAAGTCAGGCTCGCAGCAGAGTGGTCTAGAGGGAGCAGTGGAAGTTATCTGAAGGAAACCTCAAGAACATTTTCTAAAATTCCAATTCAAAGACACTGGTCTTTGATTTCCTTATCAAATTCAAAGGATCAGGATTTTCTATCTAAGGACATTCATTTTGGTAAATATTAGAGCCAAAAATATTTCAGTGAGTCTCAAAATGTTATTTAAGTGCTATTTAAAGGGCTTTCTTGAAAGCTTTTCACAAACTTAGAAGCATGAGTAAACTTTAGGGGAAAAAAAAGCTTTATTTAATAAAAAGCATGATGTTAACTCATTTAAAGTATATTATAAATCTTTAAGTATTTCAATATCAACAAATATAATTATCAAGTAAACTGGAAGACAGAAAAACTGCCACGGATTAGTATAGGTAAACTAAAAACATTCCTAAATCAAAAGCCATGATTAACCATTTTCACAATTCAATCATTACTGTATAATCAGTCTTATTTCTTACTTAGAAAAATTCGATGGGACCACTGTGATGGATCACGTGTCCACACCTACAATTTTGGGTATTATTCCATACCATAGATGCAGTATTCAAATTCACTTGAGCTGCGAGGCTGGAAACTTACAGATTAGCTCTTGGTTTACTACTTTCAATAATTTTATCTGAGTTAAGCTGATCAATTTCTTCCTGGCTGAACCCAAATTCTCTAAGTATCTCTTCAGTGTGTTCTCCTACAAAAGGATCCCTTTTGGAAGAAGGGATAGCTGGGGTGTTTGACAGCAGAGGTGCAGGGCGGGGACTCACACCCTGCTCCCCGTGAGTGATAAAGGAGCCTCGTTCTTTGTTATGACCGTGCTGGACAGCCTCTTCTAAAGACAGAACTGGAGTCACGCACGCATCTGTGCCATCAAAGATCCGACACCACTCTGCCTTTGTCTTCTTTGCAAATATATCTGCAAATTTCTTCTTCATTTCTGGCCAATCAGTTATGCTCATCTGATTGGGAAGTTCTTCAGACTTGAGTCCAAGTCCTGAGAGAAAAACACAATTTCTTAAATTATTATGCTTTGTGTGGAGTGATTATAATCAGTGAAGATGAGTTTGGAGCTCACCACACTGTCCCAAATAGGATGGTCGTTAAGGGTTTCTCAAATGGGTCAAAAGAAGAAATTCAAACTCATCTTGAAGTTGGAGCCAATGGCTTGAGAGAGCAGAGGTAGTAAGGGTAGCAGGACTCAAAACAGACTCTCCATTACCAAGATCTTATTATTTAATTGCATCAAAATTAGCCTATTTTTTGGCAAAAATAACCAAAACAAAAAGTAACAAATGTTGGAGAGGTTGTGGAGAAAAAGGAACCCTCATACACTGCTGGTGGGAATGCAAACTGGTGCAGCCACTATGGAAAACAGTATGGAGATTTCTCAAAAAATTAAAAATAGAAATACCATATGATCCAGCCATCCCACTACGGGGTATCTACCCAAAGAACTTGAAATCAGCAATCCGGAAAGTCCCATGCACCCCTATGTTCATTGCTGCATTATTTACAATAGCCAAGACGTGGAAGCAACCTAAGTGCCCATAAACTGATGACTAGATAAAGAAGATATGGTATATACATACAATGGAATACTACTCAGCCATAAAAAAGGATAAAATCATCCCATTCACAACAACACGGATGGACCTCTAAGGTATTATGTTAAGTGAAATAAGCCAGATAGAGAAAGACAATCTCTGTATGACTCCAGTCATATGTGGAAGTTAAACATGTAGACAAAGAGAACAGATTAGTGGCTACCAGGGGAAAGGGGAGCTGGGTGGTGGGTACAAAGGGTGAAGTGGTGAACCTACAACACGACTGACAAACAATAAGGTACAACCGAAATTTCACAAGGCTGTAAACTATCATTTCAATAAAATGTTAAAAAAAAAAAAAAGTAGTCTATTTTTAATGGTCTAGGTTCCAGAAATCGATCTCTTCCCTCTGAGTAGGTTTGCAAAAAGAAATTTCCTCCTGATGTTATCATCTGTCGTATTGAATTAAAATAACCCCATATTTTATATAATGCTCCTAAACTCTATGAAAGATAAAATCTAAACAACTTTACATGACTATCTCAGTTTTCAAGGAAGAAGCCTAAAGACAAACAATTAAATTCAAAATTGCAGTTTTATAAATGATATTCATTTCTTTGTATTTTGGTCAAAGAAAAGAGCTCTAGTGATATTTGACTCACTAAGGAACAAAGGACTTGTAAAGTAACCAAAGACTCTTGCAAATCGTTCCTACAGCAAACAGGGCAGAAAGTCATCAGCCAGCCAGTCACCAACGGGGCATGCAGACCTTTCTCTCCAGCGTGAAGGGCCCTGAAGGGCCCCTCAACACACAGTGCAAAGAGGATGAAAGCATCCAGCTGGCGATTTAACAGGAAGGAGGGCTTCTTTGGCCCATGACCTGATCTGCGCTTCCTTTATTGACAAGCACCTACCCCTACAGATACACCTGAACTCTGTACTGATTAAATTATACCCAAAGGGCCACTTTACTGGGGTTTGGCGTAAATGCCATTTTTTTCCCTCATGTAAGAGGTTTTCTAAATGTTTGAAATTATGCATAACATTTTGTGTAAGTTTAGCCAAGCTAATCAAATAATTTTCACTTTTATCATCCTTTCTTTCCCTACTACACTGAAGAACAATGACTAAGTGTAGGCTGCTCTGAAAAGGTAAGAAGTCATGAACACCGCAGGCTCTCCTTAGGGTTTTGAGGGATATAGGGAAACAAGGAGAACTCACAGAGTTCTGGATTGTGGTGAAAAGACACCTGTGGGATTTATAAGTAAATTTTTCTCTATAGTCACTTGTCCCACTTAAATACCAGAAAAGATCTGGAGTTATAGTTTCAGGTCTATCACTGTAAATCTACAAAGAAATGTTCCTAAGGATACCTTTGACTTTGCTTTCTCTTTCCTGATTGCCCCAAACTCTGTGATTAAAAAACACAAAAAATGAGCAGTTAGCCAAAGTAGTGATGTAGATGGTAGCTACTATTGGAAACATCTTTGCATCCTTTTTAAACAGTTTTTTAAATTAGAAAGTGATCAGAATCATAAAACTAAATAAAACTAGCAACAATTTGTCCTCTCTGTAACAAAAATCATACTTGAGATCACACAGGTCATAGTGTGTATATGGGAAAATAGTAGAAATCAAAGGACCCCAAGTTCTACCCCTAAGTCTGCCACCCAGCTGCTCCACCGTCTCGTCATCCTTTCTCAGCCCACAATTCCCCATCCTGCCCAAGACCCTGATCGAGGCCACAGGATGAACTACCAGTGGTCTCGGGTGGGCTGTTTCCTGTGCTCTTCACATCCCTCTACGGAGCTCTGAATCCGATCTCCCATAGAAATGCAATTAGAGATTGTGGCTAGTTTCTACAGTCTAATCAATACTAAATTTGTGGTATTATAAGTCAAACACTTTCAGGGACTGGCCTGGGGACTCAGACACCATTTAAAACTTGGGAAAGTATGTTTTGATTTCCAAAAAACTACCGCACACATACTTGTACAGATATTCATACACACACACACACAAAATATTATTGTTTTAAGTACACATAATACTTTTCTGCTCTGTAACACAATATTAGGAATATATTAAGCACTCAAAAATTTATTTCTAAGTATGCAATGATATATGTACAAAGATTAATGTTAATAGATTAATAAACATTCTTATAATGAAAAACTTGAAAAAATGCAGATGAATTTGAATAAAGAAATGGTTAAGTAAATTTTAGGACAGGCACACCATATCATATGGCTACTATAAAAAAAAGGTGAGGGTAAAGCTCTTTTTTTATTGACAAGAATGTCTTGTTATATTGTTGAATAAAAAGAGATAGCTATTAATGATAAATGTTTGTAACTGTACATAATATATATAAATAACAAATTGTAAAAAATAAAATGTGTGTTTGCATGTGCATAGAAAAAATTCTGGGGAGACATCCCAAATTTTCCCAAAATGAAAGGACAAGGGAGAATTTTTACTTCTTATTTGACAAATTCTGTGTTGTTTAAATATTTTTGACTTTTTTTCATTTTTTAACATTGTGGTAAAATATGGGTAAAATTTACCATTTTAGTTATTTTTAGGTGTACAGTACTGTGGTGTTAAGTATATTTACAGTTTTCCCTCTGGCGGATTGGTTCTAGGACCCCCCCGGATACTAAAATCCACACATGTTCAAGTCCCTTATATAAAATGATTTAGTATTTGCATATAACCTACACACATTTTCCCATATACTTTAAATTGTCTCTAAATTACTTATAATACCTAATACAAAGAAAATGCTATATAAATAGTTGTTATACTGCATGGTTCAGGGAATAACGACAAGAAAAAAAAGTCTGTACAATACCTGTTCAGTATAAATGCAAACACTGTAGGGCTTTCAATCCGTGGATCTGGATGGCCAACTGTATACTGTTCTGGAACCATCACCACCATCTCTCTCCAGAACTTTTCCTCTTCCCAAACTGAAACTCTGTATCCATTAAACACTATCTCCACATTCTCCCCTCCCCCAGCCCCTGGCAACCACCATTCTACTTTCTGTCTCTATGAACCTGACAACTCTAGGCACCTCATATAAGCAGAATCAAACAGTATCTGTCCTTTTGTGACTGGTTTATTTCACTCAGCATAATGCCTTCAAAGTTCATCCACATTATAGCAGAAGTCAGAATTTCTTTTCTTTTTAAGGTTGAATAACATTCCATTGTATGTATATGCCCATTTTGCTTATCCTTTCATCTGCTGAGAGACACTTGGGTTGCTTCCATCTTTTAGTTATTGTAAATAATGCTGCTATGAACACGGATGTACAAATACCTGTTTGAGTCCCTGCTTTCGATTCTTTTGGGTATAAACCCAGCAGTGGAACTGCTGGATCATATGGTATTTCTATGTTTAATTCTTTGAGGAACCAACATACCATTTTCCACAGTGCTTGCACAATTTTACATTCCTCCAGTAATGTACAGGGTTCCAGTTTCTCCACATCCTTGTCAACACTCATTATTTCAGGTTTTCTTTTAATAATATTTTGAAATTTTAAAACAACTTTTAAAAACTCTCTAT